CAAGTCAGTCACTGGGTCAGGTTGTAAAAAAAGCACAATTGGACGTTTCCGGCAAAGACAAACTAGTTTTCCACTAGCGTAATGTGTACAGCGCGCTGAAAACCGAGACCACCTGTTGGGAAGAGAGATAGCTAATAGAAATGCCCAACGTGGGGCTCGAACCCACGACCCTGAGATTAAGAGTCACATGCTCTACCGACTGAGCTAGCCGGGCGGGTGCAGGGCTTTGCTTCGGGCTGGTCGCACATTTTAACGGAGCCTCACGTTTTGCGAATCGATTGGCCTCATGTCTGAGAGCCTGATAGGTTACAAGTTACTGGTGCACTCCTTATATGACCAAAACCCCCATTCGATCACAGTCGAAAGTTGGAAATGGTTTTTTTAAAAGGAGTTTTGAACAGGACCTCAATGGAACACAGTCCTCCTCTACCACTTGGAACAAAACATGATCATTCCATCCACACACCACAGATGCTCGATGGGGATTTAAAAGGAATTTTTAACAGGACCTCTTTGGAACACAGGCCTCCTCCACCACTTGGAACAAAACATGATCATTCCATCCACACACCACAGATGCTCGATGGTGATTTGAAAGGAGTTTTGAACAGGACCTCTTTGGAAAAGGAGTTTTGAACAGGACCTCAATGGAACACAGGCCTCCTCCACCACTTGGAACAAAACATGATCATTCCATCCACACACCACAGATGCTCGATGGTGATTTGAAAGGAGTTTTGAACAGGACCTCTTTGGAAAAGGAGTTTTGAACAGGACCTCTTTGGAACACAGGCCTCCTCCACCACTTGGAACAAAACATGATCATTCCATCCACACACCACAGATGCTCAATGGTGATTTGAAAGGAGTTTTGAACAGGACCTCTTTGGAACACAGGCCTCCTCCACCACTTGGAACAAAACATGATCATTCCATCCACACACCACAGATGCTCGATGGTGATTTGAAAGGAGTTTTGAACAGGACCTCTTTGGAAAAGGAATTTTGAACAGGACCTCAATGGAACACAGTCCTCCTCTACCACTTGGAACAAAACATGATCATTCCATCCACACACCACAGATGCTCGATGGTGATTTGAAAGGAGTTTTGAACAGGACCTCTTTGGAACACAGGCCTCCTCCACCCCTTGGAACAAAACATCCATCGTACCTGGGTGGGCTCGAACCACCATCCTTTCGGTTAACAGCCGAACGCGCTAACCGATTGCGCCACAGAGACCGGCGGCAAGCCAGCCACTGGGTCAGGTTATAAAAAAGCACAATTGGACGTTTCCGGCAAAGACAAACTAGTTTTCCACTAGCGTAATGTGTACAGCGTGCTGAAAACCGAGACCACCTGTTGGGAAGAGAGATAGCTAATAGATACGCCCAACGTGAGGCTCGAACCCAAGACCCTGAGATTAAGAGTCTCATGCTCTACCGACTGAGCTAGCCAGGCGGGTGCAGAGCTTTGCTTCAGGCTGGTCGCAGATTTTAACGGAGCCTCACATTTCGCGAAGTGATTGCCCTCATATCTGAGAGCCTGATAGGTTACAAGTTACTGGTGGCCTCCTTATATGACCAAAACCCCCATTCGATCACAGTCGGAAGTTGGAAATGGGTTTTTTAAAAGGAGTTTTGAACAGGACCTCAATGGAACACAGTCCTCCTCTACCACTTGGAACAAAACATGATCATTCCATCCACACACCACAGATGCTCGATGGTGATTTAAAAGGAGTTTTGAACAGGACCTCAATGGAACACAGGCCTCCTCCACACTTGGAACAAAACATGATCATTCCATCCACACACCACAGATGCTCGATGGTGATTTGAAAGGAGTTTTGAACAGGACCTCTTTGGAACACAGGCCTCCTCCTCCACTTGGCGTAATGTGTAATGTGTACAGCGCGCTGAAAACCGAGACCACCTGTTGGGAAGAGAGATAGCTAATAGATACGCCCAACATGAGGCTCGAACTCATGACCCTGAGATTAAGAGTCTCATGCTCTACCGACTGAGCTAGCCGGGCGGGTGCAGGGCTTTGCTTCAGGCTGGTCGCAGATTTTAACGGAGCCTCACATTTCACGAATTGATTGGCCTCATATCTGAGAGCCTGATAGGTTACAAGTTACTGGTGGCCTCCTTATATGACCAAAACCCCCATTCGATCAGTCGGAAGTTGGAAATGGGTTTTTGCGGGCTTTTTGCGGGTCAGTTTTCGAACTGGAGCAGTAACAGGAGGGGCAGAGGAGAGGCTGACCCTGAGAGCCTGTGGAGCATTAACCAGGATGGGCCCCTGTGAGGCAACTGTCTTGAGTTGCCTTTTAAATGAATCGACAGAGTAGGCCACACGGAGGGACAGGGGCAGACTCAGTTCCACAGTCTGGGGGCTACAGTCTGAAAGGACAGGTCTCCCGGTTTTTATAACGAGTCTTTGGGACCATTAAAAGTTTCTGGCCAGAGGATCGAAGGGCACGGCCTGGGGAGTAGGGGCACAACAAATCAGAAATATATTGTGGGGCCTGACCATTTAAAGCTCTAAAAGTTAAAACTAATATTTTAAAATCAATACGAAATTTGATGGGTAGCCAGTGTAGGATCAAATGGGTGTTATGTGTGTCCTTCTGCCAGATCCTGTTAAAAGCCTTGCCACAGCATTTTGAACCATTTGAAGACGGTTCAGAGCAGATTTGTTGAAAAAAGTAAAAAGAGAGTTACAATAATCTAAACGTGAGGAAATAAAAGCATGGATAACCATCTCAAGATCAGAGTCCGATAAAATTGGCCTCAATTTTTCCAATATTTCTTAGATGATAAAAACAATTTCTCCTCAAAAGTCTAGAATGGCAGTACAAAGACATTGACTGGTCAAACCCGAAACCAAGATTTCTGAGGCTCGACTGGACAGAGGAGCTCAGAGAACCAAGGTGTTGAAGGATTGATGGGATTTTGATGTCTGGGGCAACAATTAGGGTTTAATTGGAGACAGTTACTAGCAAGCCATGCTTTTACACAAGAAATGCAATCCAATAAATCCGTTAGTTTGTGGAACTCAGAATCATTGAACGAGCAATACAACTGAAGCACGCTCACACATATTCATGCAGTTCCCCGCCTCCAAAGCCCTTGTTTGTCTTATATTCTCAGCATGCAAAGAGACAAATTCTTTCAAAGGTGAGGGAGCAAGATTATTAACAATTTTGTTTGATGCCCAAAATCCATGACACAATAATCCCCAAAGGACAACTGGACAGCAAGAAGGGGCCTGTGATAAGGGTTAATATCTGGCCCAAGCAGGCCTGGTTTCAGAATCAAATCACTGAGGGTGCTCTAGTAAAGTGCAGTAGTAATGTGTGCAACAGCTCCTAGGCACCACCATAACAAGTATAGCAATGTATAGTGAGAGATTTACAAGATTTTACTTTAAGCATTTAAAAAATATTTTGATAATTTTTAAAAATATTTTTCTATTAATATATTAGTCTGCATTTACATGGCTTAATGCACATCTATTTTGACACATCCTTTTTTGTATTGTCCATCGCTATGGTTATCACTATCAATCATTGCAATTTTGAGAGTAAATCCAGCATTTATATGTGGATGTCACTTCAGAAACTTTGCAACATGTATGGGGCCATTGGTCCTCTTAGAAATTTGAATAGATTACATATTTATAATATATAATCTGGGACGTACAACCCAGAAGCACTGCGCTGTTACACTACGTGAACTAGAGGCCCACACAGTAGAAGATGAATAGTTGAATAAGTCGTTATTTTTGTTTCCTTTGCACACAAAAAGTATTCTTGTCGCTTGATAAACTTAAGATTGAGCCACTGTAGTCACTCGGACTATTTTATGTTTTTACTAACTTTTGGTCTGGCAAGCTTCAATTTCAATAGAAGCCGATGGAGGAGAGATCTAGCTTAATCAGATTTAATCAAAAATATCTTAATTTGTGTTCCGAAGATGAACGAAAGTCTTACGGGGTTGGAACAACATGAAAGTAATTATTGACAGAATTTTCATTTTTGGGTGAACTAACCCTCCAAAGTTTTTGGATATCCAGATATATTTATTATGACGATCTCTGTCCAACTCATTTGTGACTAATCAGCCTCACTTCTTTCATTAGAAGCTTCAAGCAATAAAGCTTTATTATATTAATTCTTAATTGATGCAAATTAACCGCATATATAAATTTATCATCATCTTAGCGGAAGGTTACTCATTACAAAACCGCTGCTGTGGTCTGCATAAACGCAATGCATTATTACATTTTCGAAAAGGTGCACATAAGGCTACGCCATACGATAACAATAACTATCGTAGCTCTGCAAAGCCAATGCAATAATTTCAACATCAAAGTAAAAACATTGGTTTTTAACTACCGGTACTTATAGATTAAGTAACTCTGCAAGAAATATGGTAAACCTTTTAAGAACCTATTAACCTGACATAACCCTATTATGTATCCAAAACTTAAAGGGATACTCCACTTTTTTTTAATGATATGACGCAGCGCCTGAAAATAGGCCACCTTCCGTCAACACAACGGAACTATTTTCAGGCGCTGCGTCATATCATTACGCCTGCTGCTCTCATGGTACAGCAGTAAAGTTTCTTGATTATTACGCAGGAATGAGAGTATAGTTCCTAGCCATATCAGCCTAGAAAATCACAACTTTACATTTTCCGTCGGTCTTAGTGAACGATGTAACTACAGAAGAGTCAAGTTTTAAATAGGAAAAATATCAAAACTCTTTGGTCATTTTTTTTTTTAGAAATGCTAATGGTCTTGTCCACTTCAATGATGTATGCTAAGCTATGCTAAAAGTGGTACCGCCAGAACCGGAGATCGGCTGAATGGATTCAAAAACGGTAAAACTCAACAGTTTAACTCTGGGGGAGTTGTAAAATGAGCCTATTTCCAAAAAAAGTGGAGTATCCCTTTAAGAGTAATTCAATATAGCTTTCATAAAACAGAAAGACTGTACACAATACAATTTTAATGACTTCATTCTTGTTTAGTTTTAATCAATTGAACAAAGAAATGTAATGTATAAAAATATTCCAAGCATTCTGGTTTTAGGCGAGTTATCAAACAGGAACTTGTCTGTGGATGTACACAGCCTCCCCATCAGTCCCACACACTAAACACTGCTCAAGCACATCCAGACTGTTGACAGACAGTGTCTGGCCGGGCAGCATATGAGTCGCCTCCAGTCTACTTCTGCTGGAGTCCCCGGCCAGCCAGGCACTGACCACCGAGTCATTCTCCCCTGCTTGGGGAACGGCACTGTGCGAGATGACCCTGCTGTTCCAGCCCCCTGAAACAAACCAGGAAACACAATTATACGAAGATAAAAAATACAATAAATAAAATGAGTACAGTAAGTTCTACGCTACCTATCAGGTCAATCCCTGAATATTGAATGAATTTTTAATTATTTTAAATAACCAGGTAATTATTATTATTATTCGCCATATATACAGTTTATTACACTTCAACGTAGGCTCTCGTATGAGTCAAGGCTAAACGCCATCTGTCTCTATCTTGCGCAATTTTCATTAGAACTTGTTGTCCAACGTCGTATCTCGCCAGCACTGATGACATCCACGTTGTTCCTGGACGTCCTCTTTTTGTGGTGCCTTCTACTCTTCCGTGCAATGCCATGTTGGCAATCCTGTTCTTATCCATACGAAGTACATGACCAAGCCACCGGTGTTGTCTTTCATGTACTTTTTGCACGATCGTTTCTATCTGATTGAGGGCCTTTCTGATGTCATCGTTTCTCATATTGTCTATGATGCGAACGCCAAGTAGTCTTTATTCTTTTATTTTGGATAGCCCCTTGAGATGTACCATCTCATTTTCAAGGGGGTCCTTTCAATCACTAATTGTAAATAACAACCTGAGCCACACATGCTCAAAACAAGACAATACACAATAACACAGAAAAACAAGAAAAAACTAAACTCAAGACATCATCCACAGCATGGATATAGCTAATATTCATAAAAATATAGACAAACTTTATAATACTGTAATTTTCTAGATTGGCAATATGTGGATAACATTTTTTAATTATTTTTTTCAACAAACGTACGGTAATGATTTAAACACTACTCACATTTGAGCAGTCCAATTAACTAAAGATCATCCACATTTCTTATTTTCATGCATGGAGATAACATGGAAACTGTGCCATACTTTAGTGGAGGACTTCTGTTACCTGGTGGAAAACACTTTTAACATGTAGACTATAACCAGTAAATGGCTGCAGATGAGCAATCAGTGGCTCATTTGCCATTTTCACTCCCTTTTATAGTTCTTTTTTCGGTTTGCTTTTGGATTTACACTCACCTAAAGGATTATTAGGAACACCATACTAATACTGTGTTTGACCCCCTTTCGCCTTCAGAACTGCCTTAATTCTACGTGGCATTGATTCAACAAGGTGCTGAAAGCATTCTTTAGAAATGTTGGCCCATATTGATAGGATAGCATCTTGCAGTTGATGGAGATTTGTGGGATGCACATCCAGGGCACGAAGCTCCCGGTCCACCACATCCCAAAGATGCTCTATTGGGTTGAGATCGGGTGACTGTGGGGGCCATTTTAGTACAGTGAACTCATTGTCATGTTCAAGAAACAGATTTGAAATGATTCGAGCTTTGTGACATGGTGCATTATCCTGCTGGAAGTAGCCATCAGAGGATGGGTACATGGTGGCCATAAAGGGATGGACATGGTCAGAAACAATGCTCAGGTAGGCCGTGGCATTTAAACGATGCCCAATTGGCACTAAGGGGCCTAAAGTGTGCCAAGAAAACATCCCCCACACCATTAAACCACCACCACCAGCCTGCACAGTGGTAACAAGGCATGATGGATCCATGTTCTCATTCTGTTTACGCCAAATTCTGACTCTAACATCTGAATGTCTCAACAGAAATCGAGACTCATCAGACCAGGCAACATTTTTCCAGTCTTTTACAGTCCAATTTTGGTGAGCTCTTGCAAATTGTAGCGGAGATGATTGGTATCCGGTGGGGTCTTCTGCTGTTGTAGCCCATCCGCCTCAAGGTTGTGCGTGTTGTGGCTTCACAAATGCTTTGCTGCATACCTCGGTTGTAACGAGTGGTTATTTCAGTCAAAGTTGCTCTTCTATCAGCTTGAATCAGTCGGCCCATTCTCCTCTGACCTCTAGCATCAACAAGGCATTTTCGCCCACAGGACTGCCGCATACTGGATGTTTTTCCCTTTTCACACCATTCTTTGTAAAACTTAGAAATGGTTGTGTGTGAAAATCCCAGTAACTGAGCAGATTGTGAAATACTCAGACCGGCCCGTCTGGCACCAACAACCATGCCACGCTCAAAATTGCTTAAATCACCTTTCTTTCCCATTCTGACATTCAGTTTGGAGTTCAGGAGATTGTCTTGACCAGGACCACACCCCTAAATGCATTGAAGCAACTGCCATGTGATTGGTTGATTAGATAATTGCATTAATGAGAAATTGAACAGGTGTTCCTAATAATCCTTTAGGTGAGTGTATAATCAAATGAATATTATACCAAATTTTAGCTATTTTATTGCACTGAAGTATGAAGTATAGCAAGAGTAGGAAAAGTCACAAAGTCGCATGCCATTTAGATGAAAGGAATTTCATAAAATAAATAAATAATCCCAGATTTTACAGTGAATGGGAAAACGTCTTGAATTGCTCCTGCATCATATTAAATAAACTGCATTTATGACAAAAAAATACATAGACATAATTTAAAAAAATGCACACACATTGGGCCCTATCATACACCCGGCGCAATGCGGCGCGACGCAAGCCTCTATTTGAGACCGGCCCTTATTTACCCAAGCCTGTCGCCACACCAGGCGTGTGAAAGAGACAGGCGTGTATTTGGAACTCGGCTATTATTTGAAGTTTTACGGTAGATGTGAAGGAGTGTTGGCTTACTCTGCAGGAGAGTGCTCATGTCTGATCCGGAAGTCGTCTCCCAGTGTAGCAGAGACCCATCCTCTGAGCATGTAAACAAGTGATTGGGGTTTGATGGATGAAAATGTACTTCCCACACTGTAGAAAACAGAAAACAGAGCAGAATCACTGCCTGTGTTATTGAATAATCAGGTTTCTGTCATTTAGGCTCAAAGTACACATTTTTTTGTGTGACACAGCGGTCACACAAGCGGACTCCCAGTGCCAGGGCAATCTCTCGCCACGCATCTTTATAATCTTTTAGGGTAGAGTAAATGCGGATACTTTCTGACCTCCTCGCACAATCTCTCCTCCACGTAGCCATTCATTTCTGTTGTAGATTGCAAGCGTTTCTGTCTTTTCCATTTATTCAGTAGTTCATTAGTGCAAAAATAAATCACTGTGCATGTGCATACAGTGTACATGTGGTTTGAACAATCGTGCTGTATGCGGGTACGATGGTGATAATGAAATTCGTGTCGAATTTGATAAAAGGTTAACAAAGTAACTGTTGATTAAAATGCTAAATTTGATTTTACATTGTGGGTGTAAATGAATAGGCTTGGACCCAAAGCACAGGACAATATTGACACCAGAATAACAATACTCATGATTCTGAAGATGAAAATACAGAATTAGTTTAGACGAATATGCTTGCACTCCGTCACTGGCTAGATATATTTAAAATAATGTAGGCCACTTTTTACTGGTAACATCAGACATTTGGCATTATCAGGACCCACAAATATTCCCCCATTGCATTATTATACATTATATTCAACATTACATATTTTAATGTAATACTGACACTAAAACTCAACTATTGTTGCATTTTTGTACTGCGATATATTGTGACACCCCTACTCTTCATGACATCATCGTCCAAAACATGAAATATTTAAAAAAAAAAAAAAAAAAAATCGTTAAGTATTAGCATTGGCTATGATCAATTCCGTGATTGGCTAACGTTAATTATTTATTTCCATCCTGTCACAATGATTAACAGAGAAACCGAGTTGACAACTGAAAACACATGCACGGATGCATTGTTCACACAAAGAAGATATATATGGGGGCGGCAGTGGCTCAGTGGTTCAATGTAGGTTGTCTACAAACCGGAAGGTTGGTGGTTCAATCCCCGGTTTCACCTGACCAAGTGTCGAGGTGTCCATGAGCAAGACACCTAACCCCAGCTGCTCCCGACGAGCTGGATGGCGCCTTGCATGGCTGACACCGCCGTCGGTGTGTGAATGAGTGTGTGAATGGGTGAATGTGAGGCAAAATGTAAAGCGCTTTGGTGGCCATTGGGTCTGTGAAAGCGCTTTATAAATGCAGTCCATTTACCATATAACATGCATTCAGAAAATAGGGTGAATTTTCATTTCATGTCGACATTAAGTTCAAGAGCATTTTTCTGAAAGTCTAGTATGCGTGTTTACAGAACTCAAGCATATTTATTTTTTTAAAGTTATGTAATTCAAAGGGTACTGACTTTCTGCTGAATGTGCCTCTATGAGAGAGAAGGGCGTATTGCCCTGTCTCACATCCCAGATACACAGCATCCCGTCCTGCCCTCCTGTGGCCACTATGTGCTGCTGGTTTGGGTGCTTATCCACACAGTGCAAGGGCACTCTGTCCCCAGTGCTGCGTGAACAGAAAACATATCAGAACAGAATAAGATAACAGAAGAGACCAACTTTTGGTCTAACTTTTAGATCTTCTAGATTGAATTCAGATAAATTGGGCCACTTATTGATATGACTGACTCGAAATGCTGGCAAATAAGCAATTTCTTATCTTAAGTTAAAACATTGCAAGAAAAAAAATGATTAAAGTATAAACGTTAATTTACAATTCATTGTAAAATGTAATGCAGTAATTTGTGGCTATTGAGTGGCTTTTAAATTTTTTTACATTGCGCAAATCAAAACGACTCACTGGTCCTAAAAATAAGGGTTTTCTTCATGCAAAATAATATTTCTTTTTCTACTTTGATTTTGATGTGATCGGATGAGTTTTCCCGAAATACAAATGAATGCAGTTTTTATTCGAAGAGTAATTTGAATATGTTTCCTTAATCTAGTATGAGTAAAGCATACAGAGAGAGGATTTGTGCCGGACTGTCGCTCTGCTGTCTGAAGTCCCACATCTTCAGCTGACCGATGGAGTTAACCGTGAGAACTTCAGTCGTCCTTAGAAACGTCACGGCATGAATCGTACTGCTATCTGCATTTTCTGTAGAAAGACAAGAACACGGTGCCCAAGATTCAAAACACATATGCATTGAGGGTCAAATGTAATTAAATGATACATTGACAGGAAAAATACTATGGAAGTAAATTTTCAATCTTTAAAATATTTTCTTTTGCGTTCAACAGAAGAAACGATGATTCAATCAGATTGATTAAACATTTTAAATACACTGCAGTGCAGAAATGAACATTTTGTCAGAACCTCTAGTAAATGCCATGTTTTTTTGTTTAGTTGTCTGTTCAGAATCGTGGGAGATTCTCAGTTTATCCAGAATTGTGCACCTCGATTGTCTGTGCAACAAAAGAAAGCCACAAAACACTCACCAATAACACGTACGACCTCGGTCTGATCGGCCTTGTACAGAATAACTCGCCCGTCCTCACCCACGGACACTATTTCAGGGCTTCTGCACACGACCGAGGTGCAGGGCGCATCATCACAGGAGTACTGATGAGCTCTCTCCCACACATGAGCCGATGACAGAGCCTAAACATCACAACACACTGGTTTGGCCGTGCACAATCAAATCTATCAGATGATGCAAATATCATTAAAAACACAATACCTGACAGTCAGACTGAAGCTTGAAAATAGTCACAGCCCCACTTGATGATGCAGAAACGAGCCTGTCTTGATCTAGAAACTGCACAGATTATGAAAATGACAGTTTAATTCATCTCAAACTAGTCCAAAAATGAAAGATCTCGTTCTCTTTTCTCACTGCATCACATTTAACCGGATTTAAAATATGGCTTGAAACAGAGTCCTGCATGCGGGCCGCTAATATTTGATGTAACAGTTGCAATAATAATATTTACGTTATCATTGGGAATCAATAGGCATGGGCAGACTGCGGTCCAATAGCCAAGACTATTTCGACTCAGTTTGGTACCCACTGATTAGGCAAATGCTTCCAGACGGTCCTGTGCTTGTTCACGCTCTGTAGTCGGGACACCGGCAAACTGGTTTCTAATCAGAACGTGATATGCAGTGTTGAGTCGGGGTGGGAATCACAGTGAACCTTACTATACGATACATGGCTCACGATACCGATAATATCAAACGATACCGATAATATCACACGATACGATACCGATTATATCACACGCTACCGATAATATCACATGATACCGGTAATATCTCACGATACCGATTATACCTCACGATACCGATAATATCACATGATGCCGATAATATCTCACGATACCGATAATATCACACGATGCCGATAATATCACACGATACCGATAATATCTCACACTACGATAATATCACCCGATACCGATAATATCACACGATACCAATAATATCTCACGATACCGATATCACACAATACCAGTAATATCTCAAGATACTGATAATATCACACAATACCGATAATATCACACGATACTGATAATAGCACTCGATACCAATAATATCTCACGATACCGATAATATCACACGATACCGATAATATCACACGATACCGATAATATCTCACGATACCGATAATATCTCACGATACCAATATCACACAATACCAGTAATATCTCAAGATACTGATAATATCACACGATACCGATAATATCACACGATACCGATAATAGCACTCGATACCAATAATATCTCACGATACGGTAATATCACACAATACCAATAATATCACACGATACCGATAATATCACACAATACCGATATCACACGATACCGATCATGTCACACGATACCGATAATATCTCACGATACCGATAATATCTCACTAATATCTCACGATACCGATAATATCTCACGATACCGATAATAATCACACAATACCGATAATATCACACGATACCAATAATATCACACGATACCGATAATATCTCACGATAATATCACACAATACCGATAATATTAAATTTAACATTTTAAGTAAATTAAACATTTTATGCTTATACTTTTTAAAAGCTTAAACTTTTCTTTGTGAACCGACACATTTAACTGCTTATCTACTTGTTTTATGTATACCATATATACAACCATAGATACATTTCAAAATTGACCAACCTCTTTTATTTAGACCTGGGAACATCTCAACATCTCCAACCGTCTCTATTGCGAGAAGCTTCTTCCTTGTCATTTCTGACTTATAACAAAAAACATGTCTAAAAGCTGCTGTGTGACAAGTGAGTATTTAAGGACAATGTCGTATTACTCTGAGAACTAACATACGCCCGCTGGAGGGGAAACGTGATCGGAGACAGGAGGATAGCTTAGTTTACAGAAATATAATATATAAAACTGACATTTGGATATTTGACTTCCCAGTGACTAAATGTTTACTGCACATGTAGTGTATTTCTAGTGCATACTGAGTGTCAGGATCCCACAATCTACCCATTGTTCCTGCTGATGCTTCACGTCTTATTGCCTGTATCCACTTTTGTCTCCTTAAACGCTGGCTTTTACGGTTCGGTAGCTTATAAAAACTTAGTTCTGGGTTTTTGAGTTTGTTTGGAGTACACACAGCAGCTTTCAGGCATTGTTCTGTCTTTTTTTAAAGGCAAGAAATGTCAGGGAGGGAGCTTCCCGCACTGCAATGTCAATGGAGACGCTTGGATTGAAAATAGCCTTTTATTATTTAGCCTACTAATTATAACCATGTTGGGCTGCGTGTCTATTTTTTTAATGTTGGTTTGATTGCTTGTGTTACAAAAATAAATAATTTTTGTTTACCTGATCATGATGAAGTAGATTTAACGCGGCTGGGGTTCGGGGTCACAGTCTTTAAGTCAAACAGGTTGAATCGGGTGCGGTGCAGAATTAAATTAGTGCTACTGACGGATAACGGGCCGGGTGTACTGTTGAAGGGACAGTTCACCCAAAAAATAAAATTCTGTCGTCATTTACTCTCCCTCATGTCGTTCCAAACCTGTATGAGTTTTTCTTCTTCTGCTGAACACAAAAAAAGGATATTTTGAACTAGAAAAAAAGTTTGATGAGACAAACTTTAAGTTGGCTTGAGAAAGCCGGACCAGAGAGTTTGAAGAAGTTTAAAGTAGTTTGAAGTCGGATAGATTGATTAGTTAGAAAAGAAAAGAAAGATTAGTTAGATAGACAGAAGGATTGGTTTCACTGAAAGAAAGATTAGTTAGAAAGAAAGAAAGATTAGTTAGAAAGAAAGAAAGAAAGATTAGTTTAAAAAAGAGATAAAGAAAGAAAGAAAGAAAGAAAGAAAGAAAGAAAGAAAGAAAGAAAGAAAGAAAGATTAGTTAGAAAGAAAGAAAGATTAGCTAGAAAGAAAGAAAGAAAGAAAGAAAGAAAGAAAGAAAGAAAGAAAGAAAGAAAGATTAGTTAGAAAGAAAGAAAGATTAGCTAAGAAAGAAAGAAAGAAAGAAAGAAAGAAAGAAAGAAAGAAAGAAAGAAAGAAAGAAGAAAGATTAGCTAGAAAGAAAGAAAGAAAGATTAGTAAGAAAGAAAGAAAGAAAGAAAGAAGAAAGATTAGAAAGAAAGAAAGAAAGAAAGATTAGTTAGAAAGAAAGAAAGAAAGAAAGAAAGAAAGAAAGAAAGAAAGAAAGAAAGAAAGAAGAAAGATTAGTTAGAAAGAAAGAAAGAAAGAAAGAAAGAAAGAAAGAAAGAAAGAAAGAAAGAAAGAAAGAAAGAAGAAAGATTAGCTAGAAAGAAAGAAAGAAAGAAAGAAAGAAAGAAAGAAAGAGAAAGAAAGAAAAGTTAGAAAGAAAGAAGAAAGATTAGCTAGAAAGAAAGAAAGAAAGAAAGAAAGATTAGCTAGAAAGAAAGAAAGAAAGAAAGAAAGAAAGAAAGAAAGAAAGAAAGAAAGAAAGAAAGAAAGAAGAAAGATTAGCTAGAAAGAAAGAAAGAAAGAAAGAAAGAAAGAAAGAAAGAAAGAAAGAAAGAAAGAAAGAAAGAAAGAAAGAAAGATTAGTTAGAAAGAAAGAAAGAAAGAAAGATTAGTTAGAAAGAAAGAAAGAAAGAAAGATTAGTAAGAAAGAAAGAAGAAAGATTAGTTAGAAAGAAAGAAAGAAAGAAAGAAGAAAGATTAGCTAGAAAGAAAGAAAGAAAGAAAGAAAGAAGAAAGATTAGAAAGAAAGAAAGAAAGAAAGATTAGTTAGAAAGAAAGAAAGAAAGAAAGAAAGAAAGAAAGATTAGTTAGAAAGAAAGAAAGAAAGAAAGAAAGAAAGAAAGAAAGATTAGCTAGAAAGAAAGAAAGAAAGAAAGAAAGATTAGTTAAAAAGAAAGAAAGAAAGAAAGAAAGAAAGAATAGTTAGAAAGAAAGAAGAAAGATTAGCTAGAAAGAAAGAAAGAAAGAAGAAAGATTAGCTAGAAAGAAAGAAAGAAAGAAAGAAAGATTAGCTAGAAAGAAAGAAAGAAAGAAAGAAAGAAAGAAAGAAAGAAAGAAAGAAAGAAAGAAAGAAAGAAAGAAAGAAAGAAAGAAAGAAAGAAAGAAAGAAGAAAGATTAGTTAGAAAGAAAGAAAGAAAGAAAGAAAGAAAGAAAGAAAGAAAGAAAGAAGAAAGATTAGTTAGAAAGAAAGAAAGAAAGAAAGAAAGAAAGAAAGAAAGAAAGAAAGAAAGAAAGAAAGAAAGAAAGAAAGAAAGAAAGAAAGAAAGAAAGAAAGATTAGTAAGAAAGAAAGAAAGAAAGAAAGATTAGTAAGAAAGAAAGAAAGAAAGAAAGAAAGAAAGAAAGAAAGAAAGAAAGAAAGAAAGAAAGAAGAAAGATTAGTAAGAAAGAAAGAAAGAAAGAAAGAAAGAAAGAAAGAAAGAAAGAAAGAAGAAAGATTAGTTAGAAAGAAAGAAAGAAAGAAAGAAAGAAAGAAAGAAAGAAAGAAAGAAGAAAGATTAGTTAGAAAGAAAGAAAGAAAGAAAGAAAGATTAGTTAGAAAGAAAGAAAGATTAGTTAGAAAGAAAGAAAGATTAGTTAGAAAGAAAGATTAGTTAGAAAGAAAGAGAGATAGATCAGTTAGAAAGAAAGAAAGATTAGTTTGAAAGAAAGAAAGACAGATTAATTAGAAAGAAAGACAGATTAGTTAGAAAGAAAGAAAGATTAGTTAGAAAGAAAGATTAGTTAGAAAGAAAGAGAGATAGATTAGTTAGAAAGAAAGAAAGATTAGTTTGAAAGAAAGAAAGACAGATTAGTTAGAAAGAAAGAAAGATTAGTTAGAAAGAAAGAAATATTAGTAAGAAAGAAAGAAAGATTAGTAAGAAAGAAAGATTAGTAAGAAAGAAAGAAAAAAGAAAGATTTGGTAGAAGGAAAGAGATTAGTAAGAAAGAAAGAAAGATTAGTTAGAAAGAAAGAAAGAAAGAAAGAAAGAAAGAAAGAAAGATTAGTTAGAAAGAAAGAAAGAAAGAAAGAAAGAAAGAAAGAAAGAAAGATTAGCTAGAAAGAAAGAAAGAAAGAAAGATTAGTTAAAAAGAAAGAAAGAAAGAAAGAAAGAAAGAAAGAAAGAAAGAAAGAAAGATTAGTAAGAAAGAAAGAAAGAAAGATTAAAAGAAAGAAAGAAAGAAAGATTAGTAAGAAAGAAAGAAAGAAAGATTAGTAAGAAAGAAAGAAAGAAAGAAAGATTAGTAAGAAAGAAAGAAAGAAAGAAAGAAAGAAAGAAAGAAAGAAAGAAAGAAAGAAGAAAGATTAGTAAGAAAGAAAGAAAGAAAGAAAGAAAGAAAGA